GGCAAGTGAGGGACGACCATCGGGAGCCGATCATGAGTGAAGTCCTGGTATTATTGGCCCAACTCTTNGATGGGGAGCTGATGGGGATCCTGTTCTGGCAAGTGAGGGACGACCATCGGGAGCCGATCATGAGTGAAGTCCTGGTATTATTGGCCCAACTCTTAGACGACCTGCCTCTGGACGTCCTTTCGCGCTGCGACGAGCGGTCTGCGCCGGCCGTGCTCACTCGAACATTGGTACCACATCCGCTGTGGTCCACGTGTACGGAGCTCTACAAGGATAACTGCTGCTACCCGTCCTCGGGCCACTATGTGGTCATTGACGTGACCGATTTCACCTTTTGGGATCCGATCATTCGGASGGAAGAACGGGGGTGTGAGGCAAGCGGAATGGAAGAAGAAGAGGTGCAAGAAGAAGAAGAAGAGGAAGGGAATGGGAGCTCGAAGGCTGAATCTGACAACCCCGACTATTCAGAGGAAGCTGATTCGGAAGAAAGTGGGCCGGACGAATAAGGCGGCCCCCGCAAGCAGAGCAAGAAAGAGGATGAGGTCTCAGCGCATAAGAGGTGAGAGAGGGCATAAGGAAAGCGACCGGTGGACCAACGACGCGGCGGACGCCGGCTATTACAAGGTGATCCAGCGCGCAACCCCGAACCGCCGCAGGTGGAATCTGGGCGAGATGATGTCGTCACTGCGGAGGGATCCAAAAGCAGACGCTGCAGAAGAAGTTCTCCGCTGACTCAATCCTCTCCACCACCACGGCCCACCGTTCACTTATGTGGAGATGCGGGCGCTTGGGCTTCATCCCCGGTCTTTATCCCGTCGTCCCCTTGACTTTCTCGCCCTCCATCAGCTCATGGGCCGCCCACCGTTTCCCTCTAACTGGCACCCTTCTCCACCTTCCCTTTTCCACCAGCTCTATTCCACCCGTCTCCTCGCTCTCTCCCCATGCCACCACTTGCTCTCTTGTCACATCCTTCCCCCTCCACGTCCTTCTCTTTAGCGCGACATGGCACGAGTATAATAATATGGAGGTATTGCATAATCGCGGGTACTATCCCCGCGTGTGAAGATTACGAGAATTTTCCCGCAGTGATTTACGCACCCTCTATACCCTCTATCCCGATTACCTCGCCTCGCTCCGTCGCCAGGATTGTCATTTTCCTCGCATCCACCGCACCGTCCACTATACCCGACTCCCCACAGGAGATCAAGAACTCCGTTGCTTCATGCCACCGCTCCCACAAGTTCATCCTCCCCTTCCCCAACCCGTCATAAGATTATTTTTCCCCGACAACCTCTAGGTTCGGAGCTCACGAATGCCACACGCGATGACGTCCACACTCTTATCTCAAGGTAAGTGGCAAGTGTAAGCTCCACGTCGACCAACTGCATATTCTATCGATCGGTGGATGATGGAAGAGCAAGCTCCCTGGGCGTCATATATGTGACGAATTGTCTTAACAGGGGATTCGTGAAAACCTCACAATCAGAGAAAACCTAACATCTCTTATAGAATGAAAAAGTAAAAGTCAAACTGTTATTTTTTACACAAAAAGAGGGCGTTTTTAATCGTTTTGCGATAAAGGAGGAAAAAAATGAGGTGAAAACCTAATAGCGTTCCTCAAAATGTGCAAGAAAACCCTTCCTTGCAAAATGCTTTTATATAACTATATGTCATTCTCAATAGATTGGCAAAAAAACAGAGTTTAAACAGGGTAATTTTTAAGGATGACAAGGCAAACTTGAAAGATGTAAAAAAAAACGTGTTTTGGTGAATACTCATTTATAGGACTATAAGTCAGTTTTCGCAGTTAGGTAAAAGCCAAGCTCTGCACAAAATAATTTATAGGACTATAAATCACTTTTGAACTTAACAATAAAACCCTTATAAAAAAATATATGTCATTTAAAATAAGAATACAAACAACTTTTGGCTCGGAGACACCTTGAAATTCTTAGCCAAACACGAGTTTAAAATAAAAATATAGGAAAAAAAAATAAAACAAACAATAAAAAATAATATATTCGCCCATGTATGGGAAACCGTGTTCAAGCGAACGTATTCACGAACAGGAGAATATGTTTGCGCGTTCGAAAAACCCCCGAATAAATTCATCGTGCTACACATCTTATAAGACTATAAACACAATTTTTTTGGATAACAAAAAATCAGGATAATTCAGTTCTTGAATCTACGGTGCTTCACCAGGTCGTGATTTTCTATGAAAAAAACCGTTTTTTTCCTCACCCTCTCCAGTAGTTCTGGAAAATGATTTTTTTGTTCTTTTTTTTCCGGATGTTTCACTTCACGTAGAATTTTGTTCTTGGAGGAGACCTTGAAAACGTACTATCATAATCTTGAATAGATTTCGTGCAAACCTAACAATTTGTTTTGTTAGGTTTTTACGAATCCTATGTTTCTTCTGGGACCGCGCGAGCTTCAACACAGGGTTACTTCAGGGAGTGAGTGAGTGAGGAGAGGAGGGTCTGTCAAGTTGCGTGAATGCCCTCGTCTTTCTTTCCATTCTTTTGGGGCTTGAGGCCGGTATGGTCCGTGACGGTCGGTGATGATCACGCCTTAGTGAGTGCGAAGAATAACTGTTGTCATAACTTATTTCTTGTTCTGCTGTGGGAATGGGGAATTTTGGCGCGATCATCGCACGGAAGAGTCTTTTCTAATTTTCAGATGATGTCGAGCCCCCGTGGGCTCTCGGAATTTTGCTCTCGGAATTATTTTCTCGCATAATTTCATTTTGTAATTAGGATTAGGTACTGTGCAATTTTGTTGCACGACGCTTTTTGCTTGCACACGCCTTGCCACGTCAGGATTTGTGCTCCGACTTTTATCCGCCTTAACCCTGCGTATAACTGTAATTTTTGTCTTGGCAGGTGCAATTGTAACTGTAATCCTCTCCTTCTTGCCATCTTTTTGTGGCGCTCCTACGCGCGCATATGCTTCTCAATCCTATTGGCCTAAGCGATGCATGACTGGATCGATGCATGGAGTGCGGCTACGTCCCCCACGCCGCGACCTGGCCATGCCGTCGTAGGCACTTCCTTCCTCCTCTATCCTTCCCCCCTCAGACACGATCCCAGTTATCTCGCGCAAGCATGCATGGTATAAATTTCAAAAGCGCGATTAATTCACTCTCTATAAATTTGGAGTTAGCACGATCTCGAGGATCGACTGACGAGCAAGTATCCGGAGGTGAGTAGAGAGTTGGGCGATCCGACGAGCTGGTGCTGAGTATGTGGGATTGACGTGGGGCCGCGACGGACTGTGACGCACGGGCGAACCTGGCTTGCATGCTCGGACTAAGCAGGGTGACAACTCTGTATGGGTGCGCCTCAACCGACTGCCCACATCGGGATGTTGTGAAGAAAGAGAGAGATAGAGAGAGAGACGGGATGTGTTGGAGTGGTGCCTTTCTTCCATTCTTCTGAGTAATTTTGGTATCCGGCGCAATTCACCCTTGCTTTCTTTTATTGGCCTCCCGGATCTTCTCTTTGTTTGTCTCTGATGATAGGTGCATGATTGCTTCTCCCACTGTCCTTTTCCTTCTGTGTGAAGTAATGACCTGGTTGGTTAATCGGTATGAAACCTGACCAGTAGCCGAAAAAGTTGATGCATGAATGGTCATCACTCCCCTTTCTTCTTCTTTTTTTTGTTAAATGTGTTTTAAGCTTGATGCATGTATGTTTGATGATTCTCCGTCTGAATTAGATAAGCATGATAGATGGTGAGATGTCTGTCTCGCGATAGGGCTGCCCACAGGCCTTATGCACGCACGTGTAAGCTCGACCGGAAAGACGTGACTTACACGCGTATCTGCAAAGCCTGTACTCGGCCCGACTTTCCGAATGTCTAAATTTCCGCCTCACCCTGTAGCATGAATATCGAAATCCCCTTTCGTATCACCGACCGCGAGTGTCTGAGGGATTGAAAATTTCGAGAACATTGGGAACACGGTTGTTTTTCTGCACGATCAAGGATGTAACCTTTGGAATTTCCCTACTGAACTAGGAACGAACGTATTTGCGAGTGGGATATTGATCGGGCCCTAGAACATATTCCCCACCATCCCGAGTTTCCCAACTCGTACACGTGTCACCTCGTCGCGGAACGCGGGAAAATTATTCTGGAAACTGACTTCCCTCCCTATCACCGTACACTTCCTTTCCACTCCCTAAGCATCGCCTCGTGCAGGGCGCTCGCGCCCTACTGGACCCAACCCCCGTGTTTGGAGTGTGTACAGGACCACGGTTACCGAGCGTCCGACTTCATCTGGCGAACTTGCTCGGAAGAAGAACGACGAGAGCACAACCTTCGGCTGAGGCCGACCGCGTTGGACTGTGAGACGTGCGACGTTCGGCGTTGGCAAGTGATCAGCCAGCGAGATAGCCATAGCATCCCAACAGTACACCAAATACGAGTCCGACCCAGACGTTGGAGCCAGCAAAGGCGGTAGCTCCGCCCTCCGAAACATAAACCCGGAATCCGACCCGCACCCACTTTTTTTTTTTTTTTTTTTTTAAAAAAAAACGGGCCTAGTGCCCAAGGATGATATTACCAAATTGAATAAGAAGATTGAGGCCGGGGTCCTCAGTCTACCAAGAGAAATCCAACCAAACAAGCCGAGAACCGGGCTCAGCGTCCCTCCTATGAGGATGATTATGTTGTTGCTGCTGATGATGAAGATGATGATGATGATGATGATGATGATGATGATGATGATGATGATGAACTTCTACTGATTGTGGGATAATGATACAGATGATGATGGCGATTAGTATGTGAAATATTTACGAAGTCTATGCTATATCAGCAAATCTAGCCTTCTAATCCTAGAACCACCCCTAACCCTCCCTGAACCAGGACATCAATCTCAAAGACAATGTCATCCTAGCAAACATCAACCATTGCTATCATGTTCTCACCACCTATACTAAATCTGGAACCATAGGCTGTTCTGGTAGCACCTCCCAGTTCACGACTGAATTGTCTTCCTCCCTCGACTAATCCCCAAATCTCTCTACAAGGCCTCACACTCCTCTCATTTGCAGGTTACTTGGCAACGCCCCAGCTCCGGCCAACGTCGTTCTGGCATTGGCGTATTAGGGGCACAGAATAAAGCAACTTCATAGATATCAGCCCGGATTCGACCATCTCTTAAACAACCAGTACCTCGCTCAGCTATCGGCCGCGGGCCTTCCTGTATACGCGCGGCAGATTTAGGGGAGTCGGCCAAGGGAAGGCCCGGTCGTAGAGCTAAGGCCGGACCCCGCTTCTGTCGGGATGACACTACTACAGAAAAACAATAAAAGAAAGAAGGGAAAAAAAAAAGAAATACACAAAACAAAAAAAATGAAATACACAGAAGGAAAGTCGCACGGGAGGGAGGGAGGAAGGGGGAGAGAGAGAGAGAGAGAGAGAGAGAGAGAGAGAGAGAGAGAGAGAGAGAGAGAGAGAGAGAGAGAGAGAGAGAGAGAGAGAG